CCCTGTCGGTTGGTGGTAACCCTTTTTGTTTGTTGGATCCTTTCCCTCGGGCGGAAGCCCCGCCGTGCTTCCCAAGCGGCGCACTATCCAGTGCGCCACCGGGCCGGCCCCCACTTTTTTTTTTTTAAAGATCACCGGTAAGGGGATCTCAACCCTTGGCTTGATGTTGTCAGCACCACGCTCAGCCAGTGAGCCAACCTGCCATCCCTATATAGGATCCGAACCCGTGGCCTTGGTGTTATCAGCACCGCACTCTACCGAGTGAGCCACAGGCCGGCCTGAGTCTGTCACTTTTTAAAGTAAGCTTAGTTAAAAATTAGGAGTGGGCTGGCTGGATAGCTCAGTTGGTTAGAGGGTTCGGATCAAGGGTTTGGATCACCTTACCAGCCAGCTGCAAGAAAAAAAAAAATTAGAAGCCTCTAAAACTGGTTTTGAGAAACCACTACAGTTCAATGCCCTTTTTCTTCCAGCACAAGTTTGACATGAATTGGTGACTTTATTTATCAATAAAATGACTATGACTCCTTGCCTATGGCATGCTTATGGTCACTGCCCATTTTCCTCAGAATGTAACTGGAAGACTCATGGTGGGCCTTCGATGGTGGAACCAGATAGATGAAGATGGGAAAAGCCACTGGATTTTTGAAGCCAGAAAGGTATTTTCCACGGCCAGCTGAGCTAACTAGAACTGGGAAAACAGCTGTGAAGTTCACGTGTGTTCCTGCCGTGTTTTGGGCACATCTGATTCTCACCCTACATGAAATCCACTGCCACCGGCACTCCATTGAAACCTGCACATAGCAAAAGTGCATATAAAAGAAACAAAAACTATACTATGCTTGCGTGTAACCATTTTCACTGGTTTCGGAAACTAAATTGCTTTCCTGCAACAGGTCTCTCCAAATAACATGGCAGCCACAGAAGCTGAAGCGCGCATCTTCTGGCTTGGCCTCATTATCTGCCCGATGATTTGGATTGTGTTCTTTTTCAGCACCTTGTTTTCCTTGAAGCTAAAGTGGCTGGTAAGGCAACACCTGGACTTTGATGTTGCTTTTGACATTTCTACAAACCAGTAGTGGGAGGAGTGGGTTTTTGTTGTTATTATGGATTGATAGGTGGGTTGTAATAGCTTTCTTTTTTGTAAAAGATGACCAGTAAGGGGATCTTAACCCTTGACTTGGTGTTGTCAGCATCACGTTTTCCCAAGTTAGCTAACCGGCCATCCCTATAGAGGGATCCGAACCCTTGGCCTTGATGATATTAGCACCACACTCTCCCAAGTGAGCCAAGGGCCATCCCTTAAAATTGTCACCCTGTTTTTTTTTTTTTTTTATAGTTTTTAAATGTGGCTCCTAGAAAATTTATTCTTTTTTTCTTTTTTCTATTTTGGTGGCTGGCTGGTACAGGGATTGAACCCTGGACGTTGGTGTTATCGGCACCATGCTAACCCACTGAGCTAACCAGCCAGCTCCTAGCTTTCTTGAGATATCTTTCACACACCATACAATTCACCCATTTCAAGTGTACAATTCAATGGCTTCTAGTATAGTCACAGAGTTGTGCAACCATCACCACAATCAATTTTAGGATATTTTCATCACCACAAAAAGAAACACTGTATCCCTTAGCTATCATCCCACTATGTCCTTGTTTCCCCCAACCCTGATACCCACTAATATTTCTGTCTCTATGGATTTGCCTATTCTGGATATATCATGTAAATGAAATCATACAGTACGTGACATTTTGTGACTGGCTGCTTTTGCTTAGCATATTTTCAAGGTTCATCCATGTTGTAGAGTATATCAGTACTCTTCTTTTCATGGCTGAGTAATATTCCATTGTATGGATCTGCCCCATTTTCCATTCATTCATTGATGGACGTTTGGTAGTTTCCACCTTTTGGTTCGTATGGTGAATAATACTGATAAGAAAGGAGTTTTTAAAAAAAGCATATGACATCTTACCTTGGACAGGGAGTGCTTCCTAGGTAGGAATAAACTAGCCTCAGAGTTCTGAAGTTTTATTTTGGAGGTATCCTATTTCTTTGCCATGATCTATTCCATTGAATGAGAAAACAAAATATTGGTAGACTGCATAAGCAACATTGTAATTAAGAAGTGTGGGAAGGATCGCTGGTTAGCTCACTTGGGTAAACCAAGGTCAAGGATTCAGATCCCTGTACTGGCCAGCTGCCAAAAAAAAAAAAAGAAACTGTGGGATCTGGAGTTTGGATCCTGGCTCAATGATGCACCAGCTCTTGACCTTGGGTAGCTTTCATTTCTCTGTGCTTCAATTTTCTCCCTGTAAAATATGATGAATAGGTACCAGCCCCTCAGGTCAGGGGGTTGTTGATGAAGAGGAATCCACGAGCATTTGTAAGTGCTCAGTAAAGGTTGGCCATGACTATTAGCTACAGTCCAGAGCCACTTCTACTTGGTTTGAGAGGAACATTTCCATAAATGCTCTTAGAGAGTTACCTTCACTTTGTCTGAGCACAGGCCCTCGTGATCGCTGGAATTTCTCTCCAAGCCGCGAACCTATATGGCTACATCCTTTGTAAGATGGGAGGCGAGAGTGACATCAGCAGAGTCACCGCCAGTTTTCTGTCCCAGACGGTGTTTCAGACGGTGAGTTACTGAGGTCTAGCTCCTGGGCCACTACCCTCCAGAGGCTCAAAGTAGAAACCTGTTGGCAACTGCAGTCTGTAACGTTGTCCACATCTGTCAGGCTGCCGTGTTTCAATAGTAAAATACCCATAAAATTTACCATTTTAACCATTTTAAAGTGTACAGTTCTGTGGCAAACCTGTTGGCAACTGCAGTCTGTAACGTTGTCCACATCTGTCAGGCTGCCGTGTTTTAATAGTAAAATACCCATAAAATTTACCATTTTAACCATTTTAAAGTGTACAGTTCTGTGGCACTAAGAATATTCACATTGTCTTGCAACCATCACCACCATCCAGCTCTAGAACTTTTTCATCTTCCCAAACTGAAACTGTAGCCATTAAACACTAGCTCCTCCTTCCCCCTCCCCCAGCCACGACACCCACCCTTCTACTTTGTTTCTGTGGATTTGACTCCTCTTGGGACCTCTTACAAGTGCATCCTACAGTATTTGACCTTTTGTGATTGCCACTGTTTTGAGACATTTTTTAAAATGATAGAATTAAAGAATCAGTTTTTTTTTTTTTTTTTTTTTTTTTTTTTTTTTTTTTTCCGTTTTACTTAGTAGATATTTCTAGAAGTGAGAAATCTTTTATATTAGACCAGGGTCATCTGAAATAGTTGGCACCATCTTAAAATTTGAACAGTGCTGGTTTCTGCTGAGACATCAAGCAGCCCGTTCTGCAGGTTTTCCATACTTTTGTGAGTTTGCTCTGGCCTCGAATCAGCAGAATCAGCCCAGTCCTGTGTAAAGACAGCGCTATGGTTGACTTTTCCCCTTGCGATCCTGCCAGGTGACTTTCAGAAGCCTGGCCTTGAGGGGCTGGAGATACACCAGCGTTAGGTGAGAAATGTAGCCAGGCTGTGCCTGAGGTCTGGGTGGGCTTCCCCGTGCCCTGTCGGGGCCTGGGTGCATAGCCAGGCAGGAACCAGACTGCACTGGGCCTGCCCCAGGGCTCTGTGGCCTCAGGGCTTTTTGGAGGAGTCCCACTTTCCTCACACTGAACACGTGCAAATCCTACCTTATGTGCAGGCACAAAGGGGAGGGGAGCGGGAATGAGCCTGGGAGGGAAAGAACAAGGGGATTTGCCCACCCTTCCACTTTTATGCCCCAGAATGGGGTGGAAAACAGGAATTTACTCTCCCCTCAGCTGGTCTCAGTTCCCGTGTGTCTCAAACACATGGTGAGCATCTCACAGCAACGAGGATGACTCTAGAGTTTACATCTGTTTCTCTTATAGGTAATTTTAAAAAACCTGAAAATTGTTTTGTATGTAACACTGGAAATTCCTGGATATACTGAACACATATTGTTACTGGGTGGGGTATATACACAGACTACCAAGTTCTGTCTTATATGGGTGATTTAAGGGCTTTTCATGGTTTTTTTTTGACTACACTCAGCTGTATCATATGCGCTGACCTCAGAGTGAATTCAAGTGAGGCTCGATCATGTTTAGGCTTTCCCTCAGTCTGAGGAATAGTGACATGGAACGTGCATTTGGAAGCGTGCCTGTGTATTTGGCAGTGAAGTCATGCATCCATCCCTTTGGTTCTTTTTCAGGCTTACTTATCGTCAGAAGTGGACATGGCTTAGACGGGAGATTCTGCAACCAAACAGGCTTCCAGAGAGCAGAATCCCACGGTCCTACCACCTGCTCATTCTTACATGAAGTAGGCTCAGAGGAGAGGTCTGAAGAGACGTTTTTATTTTTAAAATGGCACATTTGTAAAGAACCCCCTTTAAGTATGTTCTAAAGAAAAGTGTACAAATAGTAGATGATTAAAGTGTCTCTGAGAAAGTGACTTCAAACCACGCCAGTGTCTGGTCCCTTTTTGCCGTGGACCCCGCCCTGTCCCCCAGCTGACCAGGTCTGCGGCATGTTCCTTGGCTTGGTAACTGCTTGGGTCCTCGACATGCTCCCGTGTTTCAGGAGCTGAGGAGGTTCTCTTCCTTTGACTGATGGAGACTACAAAACTCTTGGATTTCTGGAAAACAAGAGGCCAGGCACAGAGCGCTGAAGGCTTGTGAGCCCCTTGGGATGCATCTTGATTGGGGCAGACTGCCCCACCAGTGTAATCCCATTAGAAGTCCTGTTTCTGTGATACCTTGAACCTTCAAAAGTGACCCAAGTAGCCCAGGCTGCCCATCGTGGTTATAAGCAATGGCTGGAGGCCTTACATCGGCCCATTCCATAGACTGGGAATTCTAGGAATACTGTTACTTGCCATTGACACCATTTTATTAGGCAGATAAAGCCCAGCCACAGACCAAAAGGCTGAAACTTGAACTACGACAACTTAGCCTTACGTCCAACACCCCTGTTGGCTAATCTGGCCTGCACATGGGTTTGGTTTAGCTCACTGTGGTTTGTTTCTGTTTTCTTTTTTGAAATCAAAAATTTTTGTAGTTTTACTGAGGTGCATTTCCTATACCATAAATTTCACCTTCACTGTGTTCCTGGGCTGAGGGGGCCAGTCTGTGGTCATCATAGACCCCACCACCCCTACTGTCCCCACCCAAGGCTGGGGGCAGTGACCCTTTCTGATTCTAAATGGAAGGCTGTCCTCACACCCAGCCCCCTCTTCCCGGCCCTGCAGGTGTTGGACTTTACAAGACTCACTTAAATACTTACTTTGAATTATACTTCTGTAGGCTAATGTGGCTGGGGAATCCGGTGCCTCACTCATAAAAGACTGGCCTTTGTCACAACTCTTACCTTAAAGGAACAAATGAAAGAAATTAAATCCATGAAGAAAACACCATGGCAAAAAGATCTTGGGGCTCTTTCTGTGCCGGTGAAATTTGGAGATGCTGAGCCCGCCTCACTTATGATGAATGGACCGGAGAAAAAGAACGTCAGGGTCTCTGGGACCCTGGCTCCATCCCCTCCTTCCAGTAGGGTCCCTGGCTAGCATTTCAAAGTGGCCACGAGTCATCTGGGGGCGGGGGTGGCATATGCAGGTTCCAGGGCCCCACAGAGAACTGATTCAGAAGTTCCTGGATGGGCCTAAGAATCTGCATTTAATGAGATTAACTGGTTCTTTTTCTAAAAAGATGATGAATGCAACATGGTTAAAAAAAAAAGCATGGAATACAAAAGGATATGTTGGAGTGAGCAGGACTGAAGCCATGTTGGGACCTAAAACTGCCTGGGCTGCAGAGGTGGGGAGGATTTTTAAAAGGATAGTTTGTTTCTTTCCACTCTTTTTTTCCCATCCCCTGACTTTATCTTGCTTGCTAAATAGGAAAACAAAGCTGAGAAGCTAATCAGTACTTTGCAAAGCTAACAGTTCTTTCTTTGAGACTTGTAGAGTTTTGAGAAATGATCAAGGCCAATGACTGAAGGTGACCTTGGGCACGAGCCAAGTCACCAGCGCAAATCAAAATCTTGCAGGGTCCTGAGACAAGTGAAGATGAGATCAGAAAACAGACGAGGCCTTGACAAGACCTTGTACCTGACCCGTATACACAGACCTCTCATAACTCACACTCCTTCTCCTGCTTTTCACCTCCTTTTCACCTCCAATTCACCTCCGACGTTTCATTCCTTCAACCCCTCCCTTAAAAACCCCTCAGTAAATCTAAATCTTGGAGATGGAACAGCCTACCATCTCCTTCAACTGAATACATCTGCTTTTCTAACACCAACCATTTGACTTCTGAGGTTTTTTTTTTCTTTCCTTCTCAAGGGGGTGGGCAGCCGGACTTGAGTTGGGTAAGATTCACTATGAAAAGCGAGTCCAAAAAAGGCACTAGTGTTGTAGGCATCTTTCTGGAAGTACTATCCGTGTACATTAAATGTACATTAAATGTACAATTAAAAGCTAGAAAGCATTTAATTCTCTGCTCAGAACAGACACACACACACATGAGCACACTTAAACATGAAGGGCAGCACGCGATGCACATGTTCTGGCCGCTGCTTTTCCCACGTCTAATTTTCTAGTCAAGGTCATGCATGCTGGTGCACAGTGTTCTGCTGTTCCCCCCCAGCTGCATGGCTGTCAGCTCCCTCCCCCCTGTGCATGCGCAGATCTTCTCAGGACCACGCTAATGTGGCCTGCAGGTGGGCATGGCGCAGGGGTCCTGAGGCCATTCTTGGTGGGGTTTTCATCTCTGTCTGCTCTGCAACCCCCGATCCTGGTACACCTCGCTCCCCTGGCCCTGAGCTGAGCACAGATGGAGGAATGGGGCCCATGGCTGCTCAGGAGGACCCCAACAAGGCCCACATTGTACTCGCCATTTCCTTGACTCCCCTACTGCATTGCCCAGACAGACAGAAAAAGCCAGGGTGGAGCGGGGGGAGTCACCTGCAGGGAGAGGGCGGTGCAGAGGTGGAGGCCAGGTGGGTTGGAGACCGTGGTGGAACCACCAGGGAAGCCCTTGAGCTCACGTTTGCTGGACCAGGTTTGGGAGGTCAGGGGTCCCAGAACAGTCACACGGGGGCTACTTTGTCCCTTTCACCCAGTGTTCTCTTGCTTAGAGAGCTGGCAGTGGAGCAGCAGGGACCTGAGTTCAGAGTGTCTGACCCGAGCCCCAGCCTTTCCTGTGACCCTCAGTGTGTGGGGCTGGGACCCCCAACACCAGGGAGGTGTGCCCTCACACCCTTCTGTCGATTCCTAGAAGGTGGCTTTGACCCCACTCATCCCAGGGACCTTGCAGACATGTGGCTGTCACTCAGCCCTCACCTTGCAGCTTTCTGGGCATGTGACAGTGTTAACTGCCCCTTCCTTTCTGACGCTCCCTGGACTTGCCCTCTGTGGTTTCATCTCGAGGTGAGGTTCTGGGACATGTCATCTGTCACACAGGGCCGTGCCCACTAGAAAGCATTTAATTCTCTGCTCAGAACAAGCCTTGCAGCTGCCACTGGGCTCTCCTCTGCTTTGCTGTTATGTCTTCTGAACCTCTCAGAACTCTGCTTCTTTGTGAAAAGTGGCCCTGAGAGGAAAGGCCAGAGCCGGCGCCAGGGCTGGGTGGGAGGGAGGTGGAGATCTGGGGGAGGCTCTTCGGGAGGACAGCCTGGCCAGGATCTGCGAGAGCCCAATCTCCATCAGACGTGGCAGCAGCCAGCTATGGGCTGGGCGTGGTCATGGAAAAGTTCTGGTGTGTTGGCAGGCATGGTCTTGTTTAAAAAATGGAGTTAGTTGCCTCATTTCGTAGTCAGGAGGTTTAGGTAAAGATATAGATTTCTGGCTTTTCTTTAAAAGCTAGAAAATGTAGCAACTATTGGCCATGGGGACACACCTCTGTATCCATCTCCACGCTTGTGTCAAGGCCATGCTGTCCTGGGCTGCTCCTGGCCACCAACCGAGCCTGGCAGGGCAGTCAGGCAGGCATGTTCCTGGGAGACACAGCCCCTCTGATGGGTGACTGGGCTCAAAGATGCCCTGTTGGCCATTCCCAACCTTCCTTAGAGCTGCACAGCAGCCAAGATGCTCCAGAGAGCTGAGACGCCCCTGCGGGTGTGAGCTGAGGTGCTCCTGTGGGCCGAGGTGCTCCCGTAGGCTGAGATGCTCCCACAGGCCAAGCCAGCCCTGTGGGCTGAGGTGCTCCTGCAGGCCAAGGTGCTCCTACAGGCTGATCTTCCTTCCCCCTCTCCTTCATCATGGTTTGAAGCTCTCCCTTCTCATCATCTCTCTCAGGCATTTCCCCTAATAAATCTCTTGCCCACCAATCCCATCCTGGTGGACCTGGACTGAGGCAGAGGCACAGGCCGCTGCCCACCCTGTCCCCACACTCGTTCATCTGGCCTGCTTGCCTGCCTCGGGCAGCCCTTGAAGGGAGGCGCTGCTCTCGCAGAACATGAGAGAAACGTAGCACTGCCAGTCAATGCAGACACGGCTTTGTGGGTGTCTTATAGCACTGGGAAAGGCTGAAAATGCAGTTGCAGCGTTCTGCATTTTGCGGGGGAACCTATACCAGTGAAGTGTTTTGGCTGTGGAAACAAGGGAAGAACGATCTTGGGGCACACATTCCTGGGCACCCAGGGTCCCTGGGTTCTCCGAGGCTGTTCTCATCCTCAGAGCAGCCCTTGAACCCCCTTTTCCCACTTCCTCAAGGCAGCCACCCCCCAAACTGTCCTCCTGGCCCCTCCTCTTTCCCCCAGGCTGCTGACAACCTGAGGTCCCACCTCCGCACCCCAGAGGGACCCTCCCCTCCTGCTGCTCCTGCTTGAGCAGCGGCTCTTCTTCCAAAGGCTCCTGCTGGACCACCAAATCCTGTTGCTTCCCTCTTGTGAGCATCCCTTGCTCTGCACACCAACGCCCAGACCCCTGGTCCAGCCCTCACCTCCTCAACCCAGCCCCTCCCTGGCCCACATGAGCCAGCCCACAGGTCGCCTGCACACCCGGTGCCTGCGTGCCCACATCTCATGGTTTCTCATTCCCTGACCACTGAAGTCCGAGTTCCAGGGCTTGAGGGAAAAGCTGGCTCCACCTGTGTCCAACCTCCCTCTCCAGCCTCCTCTCTCAAGCCCTCCCTCAGACCCAGGCATCTATGCTAACGGTGACAGCTCCAGTGCCCCGTCGGTGGCAGTGCACGACACCCGAGCAAGTCAATACTGCTATCTCGGCAAAGAGGAATCTGGAGGGGGAATAGTTTAAAGGGTGCGGGTGGCCTTGCCCACCATGCCGCCCTGCAGGCCGATGCTCTGCAACGAGTGGGGTGCAGACCCGAATGAACCATCCTTCCTCAGTTCTAGGGGATGCTCCTAGAGCGTGCGTCTTGCAGGATGCTGGAGGACCCTGGGACTTCAAGAAGAGCATTTTCGTGAACTATGGCCCAGCTGTGGCCAATGATGAGTGTTCACTGAGAGCAACAGGGCCGTGCTGGGTTTCCCAAGGGGCAGGATGCTGGGGGCACTTTCCCCAGAACCTATTCCTCTGTAAGATGGGGCTCTACCACCCACCCCTGCAGCTGCCCGCAGGCCTAACCCCTGTCCTTGGGTATTCCTTTCCTAGCGCCCTCCCTGACCAGCTTCTCTCCGCCCTATTCCTCTGTAAGATGGGGCTCTACCACCCACCCCTGCAGCTGCCCGTAGGCCTAACCCCTGTCCTTGGGTATTCCTTTCCTAGCGCCCTCCCTGACCAGCTTCTCTCCGCTCTGCCAGGCCAGCCCAACCTCCCTCCTCCTGGGGGCCTGAGCACCATGTCTCAGGGTGTCACTGGAGCATGAGCTCCTCCTGGGGGTGGGGTCTGGCTCCCATAGCCTGTTGTCCCTCCCCTGTGGGGCTGTGGGGGCTGATTGGGGAGTGAAGACTCCCTCACTGATGGTGGGCAGGAATCGGGGCACTGAGACTCACCCACCTATGTGTGGATCCAGAGGCACCCTGCCCAGGAGGGGGAGCTTCAGCTCCTGGCACATGACCTCGGCGCCCCCGGTCGTGGGAGGGAAGATCTGAGATTCTTTCTGTGTGGCAAGGTGAAAGGAGAGGAAACATGATCACATGATTCTGTCTCCGAAGCATAAGGATGGACCATGTTTTAAAAAAGCTTTTAAAAAAAGGCTTATTTTGAATGTAAAACAGTAAACACTCAAAAGAATTTTCCTTCAGTCAGCAATAAAGGATCTTCATCATGATTCTACTTCCCAAAATGAGGGGAAGGCAGAACGGTTTGACAGAGGAGCACCCCCAGTTTCCTCAGCCCCGAGAGAGGGCTTCTCGCGCAGCCACCTGGCCCTCACCTTGCACTTGGGGCAGATGAAGCCACTCATGTTCTCTACCACCCCGATGATGGGCAGCTTCACCTTGCGGCAGAAGCTGATTTCCTTCCGGACATCCTGGAGTGCTACCTCCTAGCAAGGTTAAAAAGACCAGTTATTCTGAGGTCAAAGAATAAGAAATAGAATATCCGTGTAGTCGAGGGGTTGGTTGCAAAGCAGTGAATCTACCATCATAAAGCCTTAGAGATCTGTGCCACTGATGCAATAAATCTGTATTTAGTGTCTGCTAATGCTAAGCCCTGTTTGAAGTGCTGTTTATTTTCCACAAAACTCTGAAAGGATAAACTTGAACAGCCAAATGCAAACAATGCATCTAGAGAAAAGTGACCTTTTAAGGTATCTTAGTGCTCTACTTCCTGTGATATACTCCACTGAGCCAAAGCGCACACTATTTTCTAGATCAGGGCTCTGCAAACCTCGGCCTGAGGGCCAAACGTGGCTGGCTGTTTTGGTAAATAGTCTGGAACACAGCCACACCCATCCCTTTGTGTGCCATCCATGGCTTTGACTCTACGAGGGCACAGCTGAGCATATCCTGCAAAGCCAGATAGTCCCTATCTAGCCCTGTACAGACAAAGTGTGCCAACTCCTGATCTAGATTATGAACACGAACAACTGTGTGGACTAAAACAAAAAGATCACCTAACTTGGATCACTTCAAGTTTACTCCCGAACTTTCTTTAGTTTACAGTGTGACTGCTGTTAAAAACATCGCTTAGGGGCCGAGCCTGTGGCGCACTCGGGAGAGTGCGGCGCTGGGAGCGCAGTGGCGCTCCCGCCACGGGTTCGGATCCTGTATAGGGATGACCGGTGCGCTCACAGCGCTCACTGGCTGAGCGTGGTGCGGCCGGTCTCAAAAAGGACAAAAAAAAAAAAAAAAAAAGAAACATCGCTTAGCGCCCTCACTGTTTATTTCTATTTATTTATTTATTTAACATTTTTTGGTAGCTGGCCAGTATGAGATCTGAACCCTTGACCTTGGTGTTATAACACTGTACTCTAATCAACTGAGTTAACTGGCCAGCCCCCTGGTCTGGCTTACTATTGTCAAGTATGGCAATAGCTTAGCGTCCATGACTTTACTATTCACGGGCTCCCAAAAGGCTTGCAGCTTTGAGTATCTAGTCTTTTCCTGAGACACACATTTGGCTCCCAGCTCTTTGCAGCTGAGGTACAGAGAACAAGGCACTTAGCTGGCATGTAAACCGGCTGTTACTTAGTCTCTCCTCTCATCGCACCTCTGTGGTTCTTGCCTATAGACAAAAGCTCTGCTGCTTCATCAAAAATGACCCCCAAAGAGCCACCTGCCTGTGTTGGTGCTGGGCATGAGGGGCTCGGATAAAGTGGGGGCCCCAGTCCAAAGCCACAATTTCCAGAGAGGTTGTATATGAAGGGTAGGTAATGTGGGAAGCCCTTCCAGGGCTATAGGGCTACCACCTGCTTGGTCTGCTCACTCTTCTGGAACCCCAAGAAACTGCCATGTTTTCTCTCACAGTAAATGTGGCACTGGAGAAGCCATCTTTGAGTCAACTAGATTTTTGTTACTGATGGTACTGTTTTTTAGTAGATTTTATTTTTTAGAGGAGTCTGAGCGGAAAGTACAGAGTCCCCATCTGCCCCTTGCCGCCCACACCTACAGCCACCCCCCACTGTCAACAGCTTGCCAGAGTGGCCCATTCCAATTAGACTTATCTCCATTCAGGCGATTTCTTTGGGGACCTACTCGTGATAGTACTGCTGGTCTAAGGGTATGACCCAACCACTTTTTAAAAACTCAGTAAAAAACATTCCAGAGGACAAATCCATCTTCTCTTCACTGCCATCACCGGGCCAGGCCACTCTCTCTCCCATCCAGCCCTCTAACCGGGGTCCCTTTCCACAGCGTGCCTCAGTGATCTGATGGACACACATCCTATCACACTACTCCGCAACCCAGAAGCCCTTCCCTGTGACCCATGCTGCCTGCATCTGTTCCCTGCAGGACTTATGCGGGGCAGTGCTCTCTCCTGCTCTCCCCTCAGCCTGGGCTCCATGCAGGCCTTGTAACATGGGCTCTGTGTGACTGGTATGCAAGGGCGCTGGGCGTCACCAAAGAAGGGACGAGGACCCCCGTAGCTTTTCCCGTCTACAGCCCAGGCTGGTTCTAGGGAAGATTTCCTACACGGTTCTGAGATGTAAATGGAAGCAGCACTGCAGATTGGGGGACTCAATGTGGAACACAGCAAGGACTTTGTGACCACGTGGGCCAATTGAATTACAGCGGCACCAACAGTATCCCTGGCTTTCTGAAGGAAAATCAAAAAGGTGCTTTTGAGCCACTATTGCTTAATCTGTGGATGACAAAAAAAAAAAAATTGTGGAATGCTTATTTGTTAACTGCAAATGCCTGGACCAAAGAGAAAGCTCTTTACAAGAGGTTTCCACAGGTCCAAGCTGGGGGTGGCAGCAGAACACACGTTCTGAAGAGCCTCTGCAAGACCAGGGTCTCCAGGCCATGTGACAGAAGAGGAACCTTTCAAAGTTGAGCACAGTCAGGACCAGCTCACCTGACAAGTGGCTCACCTGAGGAGTGGTGATTATCACTGCCCCGTCGATGTGGGCTGCGGCCAGGTACTGGACGACAGAGAGGTGTTCATCCGACGTCCCGGGCGGGGTGTCCACGATGAGGTAGTCCACCTCTCCCCAGTCCACATCACGGAGGAACTGCTTGATCATGCCTGAAAAGAGGAACGGCAGTCGATGCCTGGTGTCTCTATCTTTTCTGCACTTGGCTCTCTTTACAGAAACAGAGTTTGTGATCTTTACATACACCTGGCCTATGCATGAAATCAGTGGTTCTCAACTGGGGCTGATATTGACATGTCTGGAGACGTTTTTGGTTGTCATGAATAGGGTAGGGGTGCTACCAGCACCTAGTGAGCAGAGGCCAGGGATGATGTTAAAACCCTACCATCGCATGGTACTGGTAACACTAAGGTCAAGGGTCCGGATCCCCATACTGGCCAGCCACCAAATAAATAAATAAATAAATAAATAAGATCCCTACCATGTACAGTACAGTCCACGCTCCCCCAACAAAGACTTATCCAGACCCAAATGTCCACTGTGCTGAGGTTGAGGAAGCTTGCCCTAAATAACACTTTTATGTTATTACCTTAGGTCTTAGTTACTACATCGACCTGGTATTGTCTCACTTCTGACACAAATAAGCCTCTATAAAAGCACAATAAAAATAATTTCAGGATTCTGTAGCTTTGCAGGCGAGAAAAATGCACAACAGATATTAACATATACATAATGGAAACTGGTACTGCTATTAGCTGTCTTCAATCAGTGAAGACAGAGGCACCTGGATGTGTAAAAATAATAAACTACGAAGCCTGGCAGATAGGCCAGATAGGCCAGGACACAAACGGAACCAGGAGCAATTATGCCCTTGGGAGACACAAAGAAAAAGGAGAAAAAGAGTGCAAACCGTTTTTCTTCGGTCCCCTCCAGATAACAGCATCATCGGGACTGCTGAGTAAGAAGCCCACCGACATCACCCCCAGGTTGTCTTCCACATACTGGTGAGGGGACAGGGGACAAGGACAAGACACATTTGACTCCTAACCATGAAGTGGGAAACTCCCCTAGGCCTTTTGTCTAAGTTATGGCTGAAGAAACCATTTTCGGGACAAGATTCCCATGTGACCTGTGAGTACAGACCACATATTTTTCCTCAAATCATTTTTGAAAAAAAAAAAAAGGTTATCACACTGGGGGAATCAGAAAGAGGTACTATCTGGCCCTGTGCTGCAACAACAGTAAACTCAGATAAAATAAATAAACGTCATCTCCACAACTGTCTTAACCAGAGTTGGCAAACTATGGACCTGGGGCCAGATCTGGCCC